CCCCAAAACCCCAAAACCCCAAAACCCCAAAACCCCGAAAAATTAAACTATAATTGTAAATTAAAAATGATTAATTCAATACCGAAGAGACATTCAATCAGAATGCCACCGAGGATATCCAGAGATATTGAGGAGATACTTTATGCATATGGAGAAACTGCTGATAGAGCAAAATATTCAACTCTCTTCTCTCAATTTAGAAAAATAGGTGAGTTAGCAGTATTTTTATGAGTTCTGCGCTTATTTTCCCTCAATTTTTGCAAAACAAAATTTATCAGTAAAATTTGGGAAACTGCATTAGGCTAACCTTCTTCAAGAAAATCGATTGAGTAATTGGAATATAGATGTTTATGCACAAGAGCCTTATAAATAAAGAGTTTGAAGTTGAGAACCCTGACTTAGCAAGAAAGCCTTCAATGTCAAGTAGTCTGAATTGGTTAAACAAAGACAATCAAGGAGAAGTAGAAATGGATTGTGATGGATATGCACCAACCTCTCCTTTTTTAAAGCTTCAGAGGAACATCATTGTCCCATTGGCTATTATAAAATCAGGTAAGCTTGAATTACAAAAATTAGTTACTTCATTTCCAATGAAGTTCTGCATTACTCAAATACAATTTTGGAACCACTGGCCAAGTCCTCATCTGGTTTAGAAAACGGAACGAAAGCAGCTTATCACTGGAACATATTTATTCCACCAGATTACCCATTCATGCCACCTCACGTGTACAGTCTCGACAACATTAGTCATGAAGATATTGACCCCTCTGGGCGTCTTCTAATATACGCTCTTGAAGAAGGATGGTCTCCATGTTTGACTCTAAACTCAGTGATTTGCATTCTTGAACTGTTCATCTGCGGTACTTTAGAGGACAAGGAGCCTCGAGACAACCTTCAGTTGGGTAAGATCTTTACTGAAAGTTTTAAACTGTGTTAAATGTACATCGCATTCTCTTCTCAAGTTAGTGAAGAAGTTCATTTAATGATACGTCCTCAGAGTTTAGAAAATTATATCTTTAGATCAACCAATTATGCTTTTGGTCTGAAATTTTACACCTATGGTTCAGCCACTTCATTATAAATAAGGAACCTAAGAGAAATAAAGACCATTTAAAGGAATTATAGCTAGCTTTTGATTCTCATTAATTCTTAAATTTGGTATGAGTAACACTATTACAAAGCTCAATGGATTTTATACCAACAGTGGGGAAATGCTACTAAATAGCTTGCAATAAAATTTAGTTTAGCGTTTATGAGATAGCCCCAAAATGCTACACAGTAACCCAACTGCTCAAATTTAGGATTATTGGGATATAAAACCAGCTAATGCAATCCTTGAATAAGAGAATTAGAAGATATGATTATAAATATCTCTTCTAAAGTCACTCTAAAAGGATTCTGATCGTAGGAGAACATTTTATTTGTGCTTATTCAGCTTGGATGATCCTAAGAGCTTTAACCTGCTAATATGTGAGATTAGTTTAATCATAGTTCGACTTTAACTCGCTTGTTGAATTTGAATTTTTATAGACAGTAACTATTTTTCAAACACTAATTCTAAAGGATATGAATTAGAAAGAATACAGAAGAAAAAGAAGTGCCCTTTTTATAGAAGGAGAAGATACGAAAGCATGGAAAAAGACGATACGACTCAAGAGTAAATTAGTTTCGTTCCTATTATACTCTTTATAGAAGCTCATATGAAAGCCCACAAAATGTAAAGAGCAAAAAGAGAGTGAAAAAAGGAACTAGTCCATTAGAGAACTTACTAATTTCAAATTCCTCAAGAAAAACGAGACTCGGTGACAAAATGTAAAATATTATCCAAATGGGCCGAAAAATCTCAGTTCTCAACCAATCTAACCTTCTCTGGGGTTTTGGGGTTTTGGGGTTTTGGGG